TAAAGGTCTCCTGTTTTACCTACTCTCCTCTCTCGAGAGGTGCGGTGTGATGTGCCGTGTAAATCAACGGATTACCGGAGACAGAAAGCGATATGGAGCAATCACAAACATGCGGCCGCCGCTGCTGATAAGTGCCTCTTGTGGCGTCAGGCCTGCGCTTCTCCTTGCTGACACACAGTCGTCCCACGTCCCGTCCCGAGACACGATCTGCCCAATGCCTCCTGACAGGCAGCACGTCTGCTACCGCTGCCCGTCTGACTGCGCCCGATACCGCTGTACGTTTAAATATACAGCGGCTGCACTTACAGGTTATAAGAGGTAGCAGTGCAGACAGTTATGCATGGGACACGCGGCTCAACTAGACAAATCAGGATAATGGGAAGGAAATAAAGAAAGAGGGGTAGTGGGAGAGCGCAACAGCCCCACAGGCACCATCGATGACCCCACAGTATATTTCTAACTAATGTGACCCCGTATTGTGCATCACAATTGTCACTGGAAAACTCCCACAGGCTACGGATTGTTCCCGGGAGTGTGGATCGCTGTCCTGCGTGCTGGCTCAAACATACAGGATGTGGCAGCTCCGGGCATTGAGCAGCAGCGGCGTTCTGCGCTGCGCTGGCGGCGTGCATTCATGATAGTGCTACGGGCTAAAACTGTCTGACGAACAGCGACGCGCAAACAAAAGCAGAGGCAGAAAACAAGAGAATTAGTCTTACCTTGTTCCTGAGAACCTAATCGTTTCCGATAGGCTAGTTTGTATATGTGCTCATTGTGCGTGTTATTTAGGCCAGCTTTAATTCAAGTATGTGTTTGTGTTTTCATAATTTTTTAGATTGTAAAAAAAAAAAAAATAATAATAATGAATAGCATATGTGAAGGATTGTGTAAATATATCTTGTGTGTGTGAAGCTTATAGGTCTGCAATTTAGGGCAAAGTATCGTATGATTATGATTGGACTGTGGATATACACTGTGAAATGAGACACAACATCACAGAAGGGCTTTGTATTCCTGTTTAGGATTTGTGGGGTCATACAGGATTCTTTCGCATTGTTTTAACCCTCCTAATATATTGTGCTCAAAAACTGGGTAGGCCTACAACTTTTTTGTGTTGGGGTCAAATTTACCCACATAGGTTTCCATGTAATTTGCCAAAAATTAAAGATGAAGATTCATGTAAAATCAGAAAACCTCCACTTTAGCTTTTCAGAAACTATAAAATATAATATATGTGTGAAATGTAATAATTCCCATTTATTTCTATTGTGTTATTTTTATTGTGTCAGGGGTCATATTTTACATATTTTTTCACATAGGTCACATATTTTTATCTTCAAAATTAACTGCGCACGCACAAACACACACACACACACACACACACACACACACACAAACTTGCTCTTCTTTTCAGTGATGCAACAGTCTAAATGAGATCCCAAAAAAAAACAATTAAATAAATAAAATAAAAAATTGCAACCAAAAACAAGTGTATTATTCCTTGTAAACTTAAAGAAACGGTACATTTTCCTTGGATGATTCAGAAGACAGTTCACAATGATAAGTAAACTTCTTATCTTAAACTTCATAAGTTCTTGTGTATTTCACATTTCAGTGACAAGCTACAATAAAGGTTATTTTCTTTTCTTTCTTTCTTTCTTTCTTTCTTTCTTTCTTATTATTTTATTTTATTTTCCCCCTGACTCTTTAGTGTTTTCCAAAGTGTTGAGTTTTGGCAAATTGTTAGTAATAGTTTTACCAGTATTTTGAGCAGGTTAAAAATTGAGTGAAAACTTGAAGTCAAACTGACACTAACACAACAGGAAGTAAAGGATGCGACGAGGGCACCATCAGAAGCCTTTTCTGCATGCTGTCCTCCTCAAAGAAAAAAATAAGAGGTCTCGGCCAAGATCTGTGACAGACAGTGATTTAACTGATGGGTGCACGAGAGGCACACAACACTTCCAAAGCCCCGGTCGCTTTCCATGATGTCACCCACACCTGGACCTTATAGAGTTAATGAGGCCGGTTTGATTGATAGCTGACATTTCATTATGGAGGAGTCATACAGTGTATGTGCAAATCCAAACAGACACGCCGCACGGAGGACGAGCAGGAGGATGCTGGGAAACAGACAGCCAAGTGAAGCAGAGGGAAACTTGCTGCAGGACTCGGGAAACTCTAAACCCTCGCTGTCATTTTGATTTAAATTTCCAGGATTTAGATGAAAAACAATGAGTAAATACATATATGCAACTATAAACTGCACTGCAACTCTTTCATCTGCTGTACAGTTGACCGATGGCAAGATCACAGGCATTTGTTTTTTTTTCTCAGAAGATGATTGCATGAAAACAAACATGGGAAAATTGTGTATACAATACATCCATACAGGATCTAAAAACGAGTCTGGATTCTGTGTCGGTGGGTTCTTCCTGTGAAGTTCAGCATCTCTTTGATCTGTATGATGGGTCTTGTTTCAGTGAACACTCATGCAAGTTACAAATTTTAACTGTGGCTGGAGTAATAAAAGAACAAAGACTCACTCAATAATTTCCTGATTGAGTGGGTCCATTGTGAATTAAAATGAACATATTCTCAGTAAATATCAATTAACTGGAAAATTAAAAAAAATACAGTGGAATGTGACTATGAGCTATCTACAAATGCAAAGATGTTTGCTGCTTCAATTTTAACAGTCCATAAGCAATATATATATATGAGTGTGTGTGTGTGTGTGTGTGTGTTTCACTTTAATGGCAATATATAGGTCCTTTTATATGCCATTAAAGTGAAATAACTGAACATAAATATAGGAGCTTAATAAAAATGCTAATTTTAGAAGAAACTTTTAGACGGCACTTTTGTATTTAGACGGCTTTTGCATCTGAACTCTTCATATATGCTTATATGCTTTACTGAGAAGATAATCCCAAAATGCATTGTGACAATTTGGCAAATAGTAGGGTGTTGAACAGGACTGTAGTTTGTGGCCTGTGGCCTGGGCAATGAAAGAAAAAACAAACTGATCATTTATGGTCATTTACTTTGGGGAAGTAATTCAGGACATTAAAAGTCCTGGAAACAAAACATAAATTTATTTGTGGCTGACCACAAATTAAGAAGGAGAGGCATTGTTTAAACTTAGCCCTTAGTCCAATGCTGGAAATTATGATATGAATAATATAATTTTGTGTTGATTCTAAAGACATCATTTTCAAAATAAATTCAGCTCATTGCTGAAACAATTTTGTCTTAACTGTGATTTAAAAATACTGTTAATGCACAGTACAGTTGGCTTTTCAAAATAACACTTACTGTAGATTCACCAAGCTGAGTGGCTGCTAAAATAAATCATATACAAATAAAGTAATGTAATAAATTAAAGAGACTGGTCTTACTTTAGTAATATAGCAATTAAAAAAAAAAAGATTAGTAAAAAAGTAGTCTATTATTAAAAATATTATTATTATTATTATTATTATTATTATTATTATAAATTAATTTATTTATTGATTTGTTCAATTTATTCATTTATATTTTGTTTGGTAAATAAAAACATAATAACAATTACAAACATTTGTACACTAGAGGGTTGTGCACAAATACAAATTTATATAAAAATTATAAAGCGTTTAAAACTTGTAACCATTTTAATCCATGTTTGTTTCATCGAAAATCGTATTGTTTCAATACAATGCCTTTTTTTGCAGGAGAACGTACATTTTTTTGGATATACAAATTCTGCTAGTAAAAGAATAAGATTTATCATATAAACATGACTCTGCCGGGTATATCTGCACGTGATGGTCTCATCTGTCCATCATGACGTAAGAAAGGCGCGACTGGGGGATCTCCACCAATCAGCGATCGCTTTATGTGTCAGATTGGGTTCCGGTGTGATCAAGATGGCGTTAAGGGAACTGAGCTCGTTGGAGAAATTTCTAGGATTAAAGAAGCCCAATAAATACAGCACGCAAGGAGGAAAAAAGGTGAATCAAACGCTGAATGTGATATACTTGGAATTACGAGGCTGTAATAAATTGTAAAGACGCGTTTGTGTGTGGTAATACGAGATCGTATGAATCAATGAATGGTGTAAATCAGTTTTCATTTTAGAATGAATCACAATGAGTGATTTACAGATGTACATAAAAACACTAGACTGCAAAAAGACCACATGGCCATTTTAGTTAACTTGTATTGTTGCACGTGGACCCCCCCAATAAGCATTACTTTAGACGAATTTAAGAAAAGTTAGGAGCGCTTTCAGACCCACCAGATGAATTCAAGGCTCGTATAAGCTTGTATTATGATGTGTTTCCAAAGAGAAAATGTTGAGAAGAATGCTAGAATTATAATTGTATTCTCCTAATCAGAATATATTTTGTCCACAAGGTAGTTTGATTTGAACTTCATGTTCTCTAAACACTAATATTTACATTCATACCATTAATAATACTAATAATAAACATGTTCCAATACCTTTATATACAGTTGCATTTTATAAATATATGACTTATATATATAATATATGACTTTTTTTTGTAAACATTTTGAAAATATTTGAAAATATAAAACTCTGCAGCCATGGTTGCAACACTAATAGAATGACACATACAATGTGGTTGGTGGTGGTTTGATGTGTATAATATTCATGTTAATTATATCAATGGTAATATTAATATGTGTAACATATAATACCAATATGTGATTTGACTGGTTGAGTCCTAGGATTGATAACTGTGAGTGTGATCGGTCAACATTAAACATCAGTATGAAATTAATTTAGCAAATTCTGAAATGTTTAACTGATACATCTCTTCATCAGCCTAAAAACCTGTACAAACGTAAGTATTAGTTTATTAGCCTTTTATTTTATGAAACGCTAACCAAAAATCCTTGTTTGTATTAATTTCTCGACAGCTAAACTTACCAGCATTTTTTTTTGTCCACACCTCGAGCATTGCTGTGACTTACAGCAGTATTTTAATGAATGGATATACCCCTGTTGATCACTTTCATCTTGTAAGTAGATTTTTAACATTTATTTATTTATCCATTTGTAGGTCCCTGTTCTCCAAAACAACAATGAACCAGCATTGATCGGTCTGGTCACTATAGCGTCCCATCTGATCCGTGAGGCTAAGAGACCTGAGCTGCTAGGAGACAGCGCTGAACAGAGAGCTGTGGTCCAGCAATGGATTGAACATCGAATAACACGACTAGATAACTGTTCTAAAGAAGAAGGCAACGTTATTTTGAAGGTAAGATGATAATGATTAGGGGTTAAGCAGTTCTCATTAAAAAAAATTAATAAAAAAAAACAAAAAAAAACTGGCTGTATGATTCACCTCCTGCAGCTTGGTAGACATTTGTACTACACTGTTTTATGTCTAACAATGCTTCAGATGACATAAAAATTGAATGTGAAAGAATTGTGAGATATTTATATTACAGTCACCTTGAAATAAAAATTGACAATTAGGCTATTATTTTTAATGGAACATTTCTGTGTTTGTTACAAATTTATTCATGCACATCTTTTTTTTTTACTTAATGTGCCCTCGTAATCTTTAATCTGGTACACATTTGTACTACACTGTTTTATGTCTAACAATGCTTCAGATGACATAAAAATTGAATGTGAAAGAATTGTGAGATATTTATATTACAGTCACCTTGAAATAAAAATTGACAATTAGGCTATTATTTTTAATGGAAAATTTCTGTGTTTGTTACAAATTTATTCATGCACGTCTTTTTTTTTTTACTTAATGTGCCCTCGTAATCTTTAATCAAAATAACTTCCCCTCCCTCCCTCGTGCGACATCTTTTCTCTGATGATGTGTGCACTTCCTGATGGACAAAATCAAGTCCCACGACTCCCACCCTACATTTTTTGTTCAAGAAGCAAACGTATATTTCACTCAGTCAGATATACGTCACAATAGGGAACAAAAGACTATCACAACTTCAGTTTCATGGAGACTTTAAATAATACTTATGTTAATATGGTTATTCATTGAATCGCTGTACATACACAGTAAGGAAAAACTTCATACAGATAAATGCAGTAACAAATGAAATAAAAATGATTTGAATTTAAATCTGAGCATACTTGATAAGATATGAAAATTCACAGAAAAATTGGTTGGCTCTTGTTTTTGAACATGCCTCTGATGTGTGTGATTCTTAACTCTCATTGGCTCTCATTTGTCTCATCAGTTGCGGCGCTGAAAGTTCAATGCAAACAGAGATATTGTCTTAAAATTCTGGCAGTTTAATGCCTACAAAAACGGCTCGAAGGGACTACAATGAGTTACTTCCCGGGTTTGTGACATCACAAACCCTGATAAACCCCGCCCCCGGGAACATGCAACAAAGGGGTCGGGGCCATGTTGCACTGCTTTAGAGAAGAGGAAGAGAAAACTAGAGGTGCACGTAAAAATCTATTCATATATGAATCGCGATTCTGTCTTCTAACGATTCTAATGGATTCACAAGTTTCAAAATCAATGTTCTAAAGCAGCGGTTCTTAATACTGTTCCTCGCGTCCCCCTGCTCTGCACATGCTCTGCATCTCTCTCTCAAAAGCGAATGCGAAACTAAAAGAATGCGACAACAACAAACCAAAAACATACCATTAAGAGCCGTGCTTGCACAGGTTCTGCGCGATCCTCTTCACTAATATCCTCTGCTTCTCAATCGGGCTCAAATTGATAAGCAATATTGACGACGCCTTTGTTTACAATACAACCGGAGCACATGCCGCTGAGGTGAGGGGCGGGACATATAGACCTGCACTAGA